ACCAACAGTTGAATTAACGTTCTGGGAGGTGTGGTTCCAGGCCTTCAGGACCGGAAGCTTCTGCTTCCCCCTCTTGGAGCTCAGTCGCCAAGCTATCACCAAGGCCAGGCTCGCCTGTTGAATGATGAGGTCACGTGTGGAGAGGCCCTGGAAGGCGAGAGCCCAGCTTGGATGCTCCAGCCCCAGCCAAGCTTCCAGCTCAATGCAGCTACCCCACGTGGAGCTGCTATCACCCAGCAGAACTGTCAGCCCACACAATCAGGAGAAAGAATACACTGCTGTCTCAGGCCGCTGAGCTCTGGGGCGTGCAGGGAATTTCAGTGGTCTTGGCGGCCTTGTTTCCATAGACACACTGATCACTATGCTTCGCTAACTCACATACTAATCATTTATACATTGTGGTTGTCAGGTGCTGTCTGGTTTGTTCTGACTCATAGCGACCCTATGTACAACGGAACAAAACACGACCCACTCCTGCACCATCCTCACAATCGTTGTTATGCTCGAGCCCATTGTTGCAGCCACTGGGTCAGTCCATCTTGTTGAGGCTCTTCCACTGTTTCGCTGACCCTCTACTGTACCAAGCATGATGTCCTTCTCCAGGGAAGGATCCCTCCTGATGACACGTCTGAAGTATGTGAGACGAAGTCTCACCATCCTTGCTTTTAAGGAGCAATCTGGTTGTACTTCCAAGACAGATTTGTTCGTCCCTTTAGGTATAATATATATAATACTTTATAGACACTATTTTGTAACTGTAAAATACGATAAAAAAATTGACATGCAAAAATGTACCTCTCTAGTTTTGATTTTTTGGAGCCCTGATTACACAGAGGTTAAGAGCTACGGCTGCTAATCAAAAGGCTGGCAGTTCGAATCCAACAGCTGCTCCTTTGAGGTAGTCCTGCTCTGTCCTACAGGGTTGCTATGAGTTGGAATTGAATCGATGACAACGCGTTGTTTCCTCTTTCCAGGACTTACCTGGCTATGCTGCCGTGTTTACCTTCCCAAAAGGGCTGATGCTGTAAAGTTAAAAAATAAAAATAAAAATAAAAAAATCCTGTTGGTATTGTGTGATCGGGTTGCATTTAGATTGGCTAATATAAGTCCCTGGGTGGCACAAATTGTTTGCGTTTGAGTAACCTGAAGGTTGGTGGTTTGAACCCACCCAGCTGCACCTCAGAAGGCCTAGCCATCTGCGTCGGTAAAGATTACAGCCAAGAAAACCCTATGGAGCAGTTCCATTACATAACACGCGGTCACCATGCGTCAGAACTGACTCGATGGCAACAGGTTTGGTTTCGGAGTTAATATAAAGGAACCTGAAGCGTTGGCAAGGTCGTCTTTAGATCTAAGAGTGAGGCAGGTCTCCACACTTCACGGAGCCTTCTCTGTCCCCCACGGGGTACAGAGACTGCACATTCCTCAAAGCACAGGTGCAGGTATACACACTGGCCCCACGGCAGGTTACTGGTCCCGTCTCTGGGGTCCACCTCACCCTTCCCTTCTCTGTAGAACGTGGCCATCATGCCAAACCTCAGTCCAGAACCACCAACAATGGCTATTGCTTAAGCCCTACAAAGAGCCCAGCAATGTCCTTGTACTCAAGGACAAGCAATGCTGTCGTCTGCTGTGGTAAAGGTCGGTATGGCTTATACGCCCTCAAAAGCAGCATGACCTTGGGCAAGTTACCGAACATCTCCAGCTCCTTCCTCCTCCCTCACCTGAACACGTGGACCCTACCTGGCTTAGAGCGGTCGTGAGGGCTTAAGGGGACAACACAGGGTACATCCTTCACCAAACCTGGGAATAAGCCCATCTCCTTAGGGGCTGGACCCCAAGGCCTGCTGACTTCCCCACCACCAGCTGCCCTTACCAACACCCACCTGAGCCACTCTGTCTCGACACACCTCCACAGCCCACAAAATGGAGATGCGCCCACCAGCAGCCCCCCCACCACATCCCTGCCGCCCCCAAGTCACAGTCAGAAGTAAAAGCTCTTTTATTGTTCTACAGATACTTCTGAAGAGATCTACTTGAGAAAATATACAAAGCGTTTCAGAGTTTCGTCTCCAGGGAGCACCCAAGTCTGATGGAGGTGGGGAGCCCCTCTCCAGGCTCGGCTCCGAGGGTACACACCGAACCGTCAGTAAGAACATGCAAAAGGAGAAGGAAAAGGAAAAACGCTGCGTTCCCCCACAGCAGTGGGGGTGGAATCTCAGAAGGAAGGGGAGGCGGGGTTTACAAGTACCAGGTGGCTCTCCCTTCCCAATCTGTCTTTAAAAACAAACAACTCTGAGCTTAGAGAAAGCAATAAACTCCACCTACCTGACTGAACCCACAGCTCACTTCTACTGAAAGCTCAGTCTCAGGGCCGTGAGACAGGACTGAGAAACGACCCTCCTCAGCCTGCCCCACCCCGTAGCTCTGGCCATGGCTGCAGGGACCCCGCTTGTGCTCCTGGGGGCCAGGGCTGCGCCCCTGGCTCCTCGCATCTTTGGTTCCACTCATGATCGTGCTTGACACTCACTCCCACCCCCAAGCCCCAGGCTCCTGCTGGTGGGCGAAGGCACTGACAGGGCCTGGTGCCCTGGGGACAGCCACCTTCCCTTGTGCTCTGGGTGGGCCCAGCCCTGGGCACTCTCCTCTCCTCAGCCCAAGCCCCAGGCTGAGGGACTGGGACCCAGGAAGGAGTGTGCTGTACAAAGAGAAAGTCTTTCAGGACCTTCCCACCATCCAGGTAGTTCTGAACCCACCCCACTCCATCCTCTCGCCCAGGGTCCTCGCCTGCACCCACCCCCCATGCCTGGAGGTCAGCAGAGGTGGGGGTCCCCCCCGAGAGGCCACGGCGCTGGTACAGGAAGGTGGGGCAGGGCCGGAAAGGAATGGCGAGACACGTCACATCTAAGGAAAGGCGTCCAGGGTACAAGCTAAGCAAGGGGCGGAGGCGGCCAGAGATGCCAGAAAGAAGAAAGATGAGGGCGGGGCGGGCCTGGGAGGGGCGGCGTCACACCACCCCGCAGATGAGCGTCTCCACCACGAAGGTGTTCTCGAAGTGGCGGATGGCATTGCAGTTCTTGGCTGCTCGCTTGGTAATACCTGGGAGAAAACAGAAATGCCGGTGAGACCCGGGGGGTGGGGGGCCCAGGAAGCAGTGCAGAGAAGGGCTAAGCTCAGGCACTGGTGAGACCCCTTGGCACCTCCCGCTGCATGACCTTCCAGTCCAGTTGCTGTCAACTCTGACTCGTGGCAACCCCATGTGTGTCAGAGTAGAACTGTGCTCTATAGGATTTTCAATGGCTGATTTTTTGGAAGTAGATCACCAGGACTTTCTTCCGAGGCACCTCTGGGTACACTCTGACTTCCAACCTTTCAGTTAGCAGCTGAACGTGTTAACCGCTTACAACCACCCAGCACTCCCCACCCAGGGCCCCCTTGTGTGACCCTAGAAGTATTATTTAACCTCTCTGGCTCAGTTTCCTCATCTGTAAAAGGGGTAATAATAATAATTTACACTCTTTGGAAGGATATAAATAGTGTGAAACGTTGCCCTGCACACAGTAAGTGCTCGGCTAATGTCGGTGCCTCTCGGCCCTGCTCTCTGAGGGCCACAGCACCGCCAGGGGAAGGCTGAGGGCAGGAACGCAGGGTGGAGCCAGGTGGGGATCGGGCACTCACGCCTCCGCGTAGAGCGGCGCCGCAGCCGATAGGTATCCTTCCCACTGCACAGGTGGTAGATGAAGGAGCCCAGGGCCTCCTTGTCGCTGACGTGCTCCGTGACCACCATCTCCTCCTGGATGATGTACGTCTGCGGCAGGTAGGTCCCTCTCTGCAAAGGCAGCGGCGGCGGCCCAGGTCAGTGCCCACGCGCTCCCTTCCCACAGCCTCTGCTAACCCGCCACCCACTCCCCGACGCCCGCTTTCTGCTCACACAGGGCCCCCCGCCCCCGAGATGCCCCCCATGCCCAGCCCAGCCCCTCATCCAGAGGCCCACAGGGGCGCTTGTGTTGGCCTGGCGCCTCCTGTCTGTGCCGGTGCGTGAGCCTGCACCATCATGGGCTACTGCGTGCAGGTCTGGCCCCCACCCTAGGGGCGGCGCTCCTTGGTGACAGGGCCCACGTCTTCTCCTGGCACTGCTGACACTGGGCATGGCCTTGAAGGCTAAAGAAGCCAGCCATGGGGTTCTCCCCGAGGGAGGGAGGCGAAGTGCCGGGGGAGGAGGACGAGGGAAGGTGAGGCGCTGACTCCACGGTGTGGGGAGGTGGGTGGAGGAAGGGAGTCTGGGGTGGCGGCCCAGCTATCAGCAATGTCCCTGGGTCCCCCAGCCCTGCCGGGGCAGGAGGACAGGCCCCGCGCCCCAGCCCACCTTCACATTCATGAGCAGCTCCCAGAAGTTGCGAGGGGGCAGCACAACGGTGGTGTTGAGCTCGATGACGTAGCATTTATCCAGGGAGATGTCATGGTAGGCGGTCAGGCCCTGCGTGGAGGAGGGTCCCGTGGGGGTCAGTCTCACAGGCCAGGGCTGGGCAGGGTGTGAGAGGCTCCCAGCCAGCGTGCCATCCCCGGCCCAGGCCCTCTGGGCGGGACGTACCCAGACCCCTCAATACCTGGGTGTGCTGGCCTGTTCGCAGGAGGCGCCCCGTAACAGCTAAAAACACCAACCGCTAAGTGCCTTGACTGTTCCGAGGGCTCTTCTCACGGGTTTCGAAAGCTGAGGTTTGGGGAGCCCTGTATCGTCCCTGCTATGCATCCCACCACACAGCCTGTGAGGTCTGGCCGCCCCTACGGACAGCCTGGGCCCCCCGGGGATTTCTGCTGCAGGAATACTGGGGTGCAGAGAGGATGGTTAGTACTGGAACACCTACAAAGCTCTGGGAGGCAAGTACCGGGGAGAGAGGGCCAGAGGCCTGCACTTCACGGGCCCTGGACCCAGTGCCGCCGATAGAAGTGAGAGGACAGTTACCTCCGGGTGGGGTGCTGCCTGGGAAGGAGCATGAGGGAGCCTTCTGGGGGGCTGCCCATGTTCCAGATCCTCGCCTGGTTCATGTAAATGTATCAAAAAAAAAACAAAGAAAAACCCATTTCTGTCGAGCTGATTTTGACTCATGGCGCCCCCACGTGACAAAGCAGAACTGCTCTATAGGGTTTTCTTGGCTATAATCTCTATGGAAGCAGGTCGCCAGGCCTTTCTTCTGCAGCACCACTGGGTGGGTTCAAACTGCCAACCTTTCCGTTAGTAGTTGAAGGCAACTGTGAAGGTGTACCTACGTAAACCCAACCCACTCAGCGGTACGTTAAGACGTGTGTACTCAATGGCGCGTGGGCTGTGCTTCCATAAGACGTGAAACCAGAAACAAGAAACCCTGGCCCCACCCAGGAGAGAGTGTCTGAAGCTGCCAGGTGGCCGAGGAGAAAATCAACCACGCTTCACTCAGATTTAGCAGTGACTGTTACCAGTAATATAAGCAATGTCTTCACATCCCTGATAAACCGAAACCACAGACACCCACTACACCCAGCTGACACTGTATGGCAGAGAGGCAGTGGACGAATGGTGGACAACGGCCTTCTTTCTCGCGGCTCAGCGGAAGGCAGCTCTGGCCTCCTGCCCCCTACCCCCCACACGGAGGCCAGCCTCACCCGCTGGAAGTCGTGGATGATGTCAGCGGGGTCGCCGCCCCCAAACTGGGGCACAGGCACGTTGATGCGCTCGTAGTTCTCCTCGAGGTAGATCTTCACGTCCTCCTCCAGCTCCATCCGCGTGCGCACTTGGGAGGACAGGGCGTCCTCATAGAGCACACCGCAGTGGAAGAAGTTGTCCCGGGCCAGCTGAGCAGGACGGAGAGGGGAGAGGCAGACAGATCACACGGCGCTCTGGGGCGGCAGGAAGGGTGAGACGCTAAACCCATTTCACAGATGAAGAAACTGAGACCTGTGGGGGAGTCAGGTCAGAGCAGGGAGCTGCCTGTAGGGGGGTCGGGAAGCCAAGTCTGCCAGTTCCTAGGTAGATGACCTTGCCGGGTCTCAGTTTCCCCATCTGGGAACGATGATCCCGAAGGCCCCTTGCAGCCTCCAAGGCTGTGAGTCCATGCCCAAGAAATGGGGTGGACCAGCGTGGAGAGGCCGTCGCCACCCTGTGCCCTCCACAGAGGGGCAGGCACCGGGGAAGTGGCTGGTGCAGAGGGCAGACCCTCTGGGGAAACCAGGAACGGTGCCAGACCACAGCCCCTAACTGGACGGGTTGAGTCCCTGTGGGGAGGCCTCACCGGCCACTAGGGGGTGCTCCCTGGCCTTCCTGCCACCTGCTACCTTGGCACCCCGCAGACCTTGGGGGACAAAAGAGAAGAGGACCAGAAGCAGGTGACAGGCAGCTGCCCCCACCGCTAACTCAGCGTCTGGCCTCAGTCTCTTCACCTCTCCTGGACCCCCGGGCCACACAAGACACCTTGACAACATCTGACTTGCCACCTCAGGCACCTTGGGTGGGACAGATGGGACGTGACTTACGTCAGGTGAACCACCCAGCCTGCCCACTAGGACGCTTCCAGGGCCCTGCCAGATTCATGCTTGGGACTGACCGGCCTGTGACAAGCAGAATCCCTTTCTTTCTCAGTGTAAGCTCTCCGTAGGACAGGTCACTGAGGGCCCCA